TCAATTCGACCGACCTCATAATCACCAAAAAGAAATAGAAAGAAATCTAAATCACCCTTTTTTCTTTCTAAAATGACTTCAAATTGTAACACGAAGCTACATTTTTTTATCCTAAATAGCTCTAAGTTTGTAACAGTATACATTTATTTATAATTAAACTTTATTGTTTTATTGCCCTTTGAACCGTGTCTAACTACTATCTGTGCCATTATAAGTTGTAAATCACTTGGGGAACATGCACCTCACATTACACTATCGAATTACATTACCCACGAGCTGCTCGTGTGTGTGCCTCATGAAACATTTTTATTAAAATATTATTATTATTTATTTTACCCAATCTAATCTTAACTAACCTAAAAGTATCCCTATTTTTACATTTTAGTTACTTTCATAATTATACATAAAGAATACACATGAAAAACAAGAAATAGAATACTTAACCAATCTTCTTTTTTCTTGCTATCGATTGTCATAGAGAGTTAACCCTAATTCTTTATACCAATGATAGTAATGCAGTTAATAATTTTTATTTACTTAAATAATGCACCAAAGAACACAGACTAATAATATGCAAAAAATAGATAATTTCCCCTCATTTTAAAATTTTTTCTGGCTTTCTAACTATGCGATAAGAGCCATTACAAATTCATCCAAACTAGTTAATGTTCCCATGAGAACGAAGCTTGTTCTCTGAGTGAAATTGATGCTTATCTGTTTAGAACACAACACTATATAATATTTCATTTGATAGATGAAAAACCTTGACTTTCTATTGGTTATAGGTAATATATAATTATACATAAGAAAGAACTATTAACAAATCCTGAAGGAGGTGGGTGTGGCAGGAGGGGACTGATTTTCTATTTGATAGCTCTATAACCAAACAAAATTGAAGGCTATAGAAATTATGGTTTTTCTGATCAGTGATGATTTTATAATGAGTAATTAGATACCTAGAGAAAATGTGTCATGTGTGTCACACTAGGGGAAATTCAGGATTTTTTTAAAATATTGACTTATAGAATTAACAACTTAAAACTTATTAGAATATGGATTATTAGCTAAGATTTTATGCTATACTAATTAGTATAACATAAAAAATAGTTTGATAAAATTTTAAATGTAAGACACTAAAACTTTGTGTCATGCACTGTTAATGATACCTGTAGTGATAGGATTAAAAAAGCTGGACAAAAAGATATTTTGATAATTTTAAATATATCCGAAGGAGTTAATGTTTTTATTTTCTGGGAGCTTTTATAAGGTGGACCTATCTTTTTTAGTTTGCCCCTGAAGAAGAAAGGTCCACCTTTCAAAAGAGCTCTGGTTATAGGGTATCATATTTTTTGTGTAAATTGATTTCTTGAACCTACATGCTTTTCTAACATCATGAATGTTTTCATTTTCTGTTATAGTGAAATCATTCTATTTCACTAACAGTAATACCATTGAAAGTACACACACAAAATTATGATTAGACTTAAATATTTATCACTGACTATTAACACTTAAGTATTAACTCATAAACACAAGAAAATTAATGATGTTTACCTTTCTCCCTCTGATAAGATTTGACCTGATGATTTTATATGACATTAAAAATATTGAAAGTTGATAGTGTTGAATTATTCATATCTCATTTTGGGATTTTAGCGAAAATGTAAACTTACAAGTAGAAAATTTGGAAGAACAGCTAGAATTAATGACAAAACAACGTGACAAAGCTTTGGAGCAAGTGTCACAGTTGGAGGATCAAGTGCAGCACTATGCAGCATCTTTGGGCAATTTACAACTTGTGTTGGAACATTTCCAGAAAGGTCAGTTTTACCATAAAGGTTTTTGTTTTTTTTACTTGTGGAAAACACTGTTTTGTTTTGGTGAATCTGTGTTTGTTAAATTATGATTTTCTACTTAACTGTATGGGTATTTTATATTAACTTATTGTCAATGAATATTAGTTGCCTTATTTAATTTCATTACAATAGTAAATTGTGTGAAAACTACAATTTCTGAAGTTCTTTTTTGACCACAAAAAATAAAAATCAATCATACCTCAACATATTATTTATTAAGCTTTCATACATGTATATAAACATTTTACGTGGAAAATTATTTGTTAATTATAAAATAATAGTTATTCAGTTTTTATTCACATTTGATATTTCCTGATTGTAGTTGAATATATATAGTGTATATAATCTAAATTCTAAAAATGATGAAAACAGGCAGTGTTGATTTATTGTATTCTCAGATGCACTGATAACCTTACAGACAAGGATAGTAACTGTAGACAGGAGGAATGTCAGGAAGTATATTTAGTATATTAAAACTAAAATTTAGACTTAACTGGGTTGAAGAAAAGAGACTGAATACAATGTGAAACAGAATAAAAATTAATCATTATTCAAAGCAAAACAACAAGTCAACTAGACAAATGCATAAAATGTAAGGCAGCACTTCTAGATGATAAAAAGAGATGTTTGAATTCTCAGTCTATTCCAAAGTGTTACTGTTCAAGACTGAGACAGTATGACATCACATACACAAAAATAATATCATTCATCTCAGAATGCAGGTGCTACCCATGTCACTAGTCATCCAATTAGAGGACACAAACTCTAGATATTTTTAAGTTTAAACATGGTAATGTTGTTTAAGAAAGCAGATACAAGATTAACTTTCTCGCTATGGGCTTGGTAATGTTATTTGAAAAAGCAAATACAAAATTAACTCTCTTGCTATGGACTTGGTAATGTTATTTGAAAAAGCAGATACAAGATTAACTCTCTTCCTATAGCCTCGGTTGAATCGTCCAAGTTTATGACCCCAAATTGACCTTTGTAGTTTCTGTACTGTAAATTCTAATATGTTTTGTGTTTCTTCACGAAATTTCGCAAGCTTTCAGTAATTGTTAAGTCATTTGTAGACAAAAAATCTGAATTTTGAATGAAATATTTTCACTAAACATTTCACCATGAATATATGGAGTCAAAGTGTTGACTGCTCCAAGTGCAAAATGATTTTCACATTAAGATTAAAGATACTTTTCTTCATCTGAAAAATTTCAAATTTCATTTGCATAATCTATAAAACTTCTTAAATAAATTTTAAGTGTTTTTTTCAGTAAAATTGTATATTTTATCTGTTATTTTCTCTATCTTAACCTTGTACAAGGTTGGTCACTTGGAATGATCTTGTAACCACCAAAAAAATTTCTAAATAAATTTAAATTACCCCTTTTTTTACTGGAATGAATTCAACATGAAACTAAATTTGTTTATCTTAAATAGGTTTAAGCTTGTAGCAGTATACATCTGTTTATACTTAAATTTTATTATTTTATTGCCCTTTGAACCATGATTAATTGATATTCCCAGCATAAAATTTGTAAATCACTTGGAGAATATGCAGCTCATGTTACTCTATCGAATTACACAATGCATGAGCTGAGCTACTCGCAAATTACTTGCAAGCATACCTCATTAAATTTTTTTTATCATTATTAATTTGTGTTTAACCTAAAAGTTTTGTGTTTTTTTTTCACCAAAGAACACAGAATAATCACATGCACAAAGCAAACAGTGTCCCATAACTATCACAGTTTTTCTGGCTTTCTAGCTATGCAACAAAAGCCTTTAAAAATTCAATTAAACTCATCAGTGTGTTTCCCTTAGGAATAAAGATTGAACTGGAAGTGAAGTAGACATTGTTCTGTACAGAAAACAACATAATATAATATCATTTGATAGGTTAAAAGCTTGGCTTTCTATTGGTTATAAATAATATAGTATTAAATGTAAGGGAGAGAGAGAGATATTGACTAATTCTGAAAGAAAGGGTGTGACAGGTGAGCATGACAAGTGGGGCCTGGTTTTCTATTTGATGACTCGTTAACTAAATACGATTGAAGCTATAAAAAATTATGCTTTGCCTGTGTGATGATAATGTTATAATAAATAATTTACATTAAACTTTGTACTAAAGAGAAAATGTCACAATTCTAATACTATGGGAAATTTAAATATTGCCATATAAAATTATGAACTTGAAACTTGCATACTAATAAAATTTGGATTATTAACTGTGTTTTATGGCAATCTTATTTGTATACCATGATAAGAAAGTAGTGTAATTAAATTTTCTATGGAACTCACTACAACCTTGTGACATGCTCAGAAAAAATGGCCATTGTGAAAGAGTTAAAAGTAGGTCTTCAACATCATCCATGAGAAATCACAAAAATATGTAGCTTTTACACTTTTTTAACTAGCACATGAAATAAGGTCACTTGTGTACAAAGCATATTTCCTGTAAGTAAAAGTTTACATGCACTTTGAAAGTACACATCTGAAAACTGTAATACAAACTAAACACTTACCTTTCTAAATAACTAGAGGAGTAAAACATGGTAGCTTCTCAAATATTGAACCTTCCCCTCTCCTTGTATTAGGTTCTCCTCAAGCTAACAGTGATTTAAAAGTATAAAATCAATTAAGTATGTGAAAAACTGCAAACCAACACAAGAAAGAAAAGCATGACCCTCAAGAAAATCAAAGTTACAAAACCAGATACAATGTATGAAATGCAAAAATAAATATCCTTTAACTCTATCATCATGGGCTCAGTCCCTGGGACCGATCTCGTAACCATTTTATGCTTGTTATAATTTTCATGCTATAACTTTTAAATTAGTAAGTGTAGGTTAACGAAATTTGGCAGATTATCAGTAAACATTACAATGCTTTCAGACACAAAATATCAATTTTTTTATTAAGTCTTAAGGTTTGTAAAGCAATGTTTTTTCATACCTTTTTTTTTCCTTTTGCATGTTGCCTATCCAACATGCAAAGTAATTTTCATTTTAAGATTAAAAATACTTTTATTCATCAGAAAATTTTCAAATTTCACATATGAAATCTTTATAATGTTGAGATAGTTATCAAATGTTTCTGTTATTTTCACCAATGAATCTCTGTATGGGTTTGGTAGATTTGCCCGATCTTATAACCACCATAAAAATTGGGAAATAAATATAAGTTATGCCTCTTTCATTCTATAATGACAACAAACTATAACATGAAAACATAAATGTTTAGACTAAATACCTTAAATCTCATAACATTATACATTTATATATATTTATTAATTTCATAATATCGACCTTTCATCTGTGCCTGGCTAACAATATAGAAGTTACAATGATGCAGCACACTTGCTCTCATGGTACCATATCCAATAATATAAAACTGACCTTTAGTCTTTATAAAGTGACCTGTCTTGGCTGTGTTTTAGTATACTAGTATTTTGTAAAACAGTCACATTTCCATTATTATATATTATATATGTATATATTATTGCTATTTTGAAATAAGTTCTTAAACTTATTTTTCTTAAAACATAGAGCAATAAATAAAGAAGTAAAGCAAACAATTATCTCTTCTTGTTACGACCTTTGTACTCGGTTGCTGCTTTACATAGGTTGCTAAGCCTTTTAAAATTTTGCACGTGGAGGATATGAAACAAATAATTTTTTTTTAGGTTTTATATATATATACAGTTGAATAACCACAAAATCATAAATTACTACATCAGTACCATAGAATTCAACTATAATTTGTCTGACTAACATTACAGAAGTTGCATTGACATGGCGCACATGCTCTCCTGTTACCATATTCAACAGTATAAAACTGGCCTTTACCAAGTAACCTGTTTTGATTTTGTTCTAGTGGGCCACTATTTTGTAAAATACAGTCATATTTCAGTTATAATACATTACATATTTACACAAGTTTTTAAATTTTATTTCTTTTTCTTAAAGCATAGAACAGTAAATGAAGTATAGAAAACAATGATCTCTTCTACTTATGAACTTTGTACTCGTTTGCTGTTTGCCGTAATTTGCTAAGCCTTGTCAAGTAGAATATAAAACAAAGTACTTTTTTTTAGATTTTATATATGCATTCTGAAATAACAAAAAAAAACATAAATTATTCTATCAATACCATAGAATTCCACTATCAAACTTAGTAGCTAAGCTGTATTTCGGTCTAACAAAAATATGAAATTTTAAGCAGACTAAAGACACAACCTACCTCCTTGAAATCGTGGTTCAAAAGAAAGAGATGGGGTCCTAACATGTGAAAATGGCTGAGAAAGCCAATAGGGGGTCATTCTGAGGTTTTGAAAGGTTATTTACATGTCATATATTGAAGTAAGTGTGTATAAGGGACCATTTCTAAAAATAGAAAGAGGTTAGCATAGACACTGTGTTAGATACACTACATAAGTGACATATCAGCAAACAGAAAAGATAGGAGGTTCTTATTTTAGGTTTGAGTTTCTAATTCATATGAAACTATAAACTTAGTATTTTGACATCACAAACATCTGTGCTGCATTCAGTATACCATGTGACACACAAAAATTGATATTTAACTGTTTTTCTTATATGTATTTTTAAATTAAGAAATTAAATAATGTATAATACTAAAATTTGAATTATATTCTACAGTTTGATACGAAAGTTATAGACATAAATTCATGAAAGTAGTTCAATAGAATTTTGAATATGAGTTGACAAACACCTTTGTCCCATAATCCATCAAGGAAATAAACTTTTCTATGTAAGCCATAAAGTCCTTCAAAATATAGTGTCTAACATAAAAATATACAATAAAAATATAATCGTTTTTAACCATGAATCAGAGATATAATAATGCAGTTATATACAATATTAACTAATGGTAATGGTAATTTTAAAGTTATCACGTAAATGAAAAATACAAAATCTTTAATACTAAACAATTAAATTTTT